TATTGCTTATGGTACTTGTAGCCAAGTGTACCGGTCCTAAATCACTGATTATTATGAGCATGTAAATAGCCGATAGTAAACATTTGACTAAAGAATGGATAAAGTTGAAAGATTTATTAATGCAAAATACTTATTCCTTGCACCTGATTAAATGCATTTTCACATGGTGACTGTTTATATTTCGGCTTGAGTCGGTTTTCGAGACTTTTTCTTGCTTTTCGAGACGACCAGTAAATCAGTAGTATGAGGTGAATTCACCCAATTTCGTTTAAGGTGATGAAGGACTGGTAAAAAAAGAATTTTTCCACAATAATATGAGTTGAGTTGATGTTTCCATTGAATTTCACATATTTTTCAAATTAAGTATTGTTTTCGTGACTACCAGTAAATCAGTAGTATGACGTGAATTCACCCAATTTCGTTTAAGTTGATGAAGGACTGGTAAAAGAAGAATTTTCCCACACTCATATGAGTTGAGTTGACGTTTCCATTCAATTTCACATATTTTTCGCATTAAGTATTGGTTTCGTGACTACCAGTAAATCAGTAGTATGACGTGAATTCACCCAATTTCGCTTAAACTGATAAACATGATGATATGAGTAGAGTTTTACGTTTCCATTCAATTTCACATTGCCTTGTTTTCACAAAAGTTGTTCTCATTCACGCCCAGTGGACTGCAGTTTCGACCTTGCATCGGTCTTCTCAACACCCTAAGCAGGACTCGAACCGTGACGTTGCAGAATGTGAGCTTGACACGTTAACCACTCGATGTGAATTTCAAGGAAGGCCGGGCCTTTTTCCAATATTACATTCTTTGGTGTGATTGTCGATGAAGCAAACGTATATTTGTAATAACAATCGACTACGTTACTTATTATCGTATTTGAGTAGAGTGTTGAGAGTACCAGAAAATTAGTAATATGAGATGTATTCACTCTATTTATTTGAAGGTGATGAAGGACTGGTAGAAGAATTTTCCCATAATCATATGAGATGACGTTTCTAGTGAATTTCACATTGGCTCGCTTTCCCAAAAGTTGTTCACATCTCGACTGAAGTGAACTGAAGTTTGTACCTTACTCAAATCTTATCAACAGCCCCAGCGGGACTCGAACCGTGACGTTGCAGAATGTGAGCTTGACACGTTAACCACTCGACCACCTTGTCAAGCCTTTTGCCATTTAACATCGTTTGGTGGAATTGTCGATGAAGCAAACGTATATTTGCAATAAAAATCAACTATGTTACTCATTTTGCATTTGAGTAGAGTGTTGAGACTACCAGAAAATTAGTAATATGAGATGTTTTATTGCGTCCTAACTGTGACGTAATGCCCTCTTTCACAGAAGATAAGAGCGGTGCTCAAAGAAATTCGGACATCTTCTTCTATCTCCCCTCGGGCCTATGTCTGTTGCATATGGCGTCTAGTTGCAAGGGATGAAGGTATTTTTTGCAAGAACCCAACTTGGACGTCGACCATTTTAACCGTCCCACAGAACCGTCAAGTCGAGGCTTGCCTCGCCTTCGCACCAGCTCCACCGACTTTCACACAAAGTCGCACAAATCGCCACCCAACTTGCGTCTGAGCATGAATGGGCGCCAAGTTCGAGTCCGAGGCCGAGTCCAATTGACGCGTTTGCGGCTAGAGTCGCGATCGCTGCTCCGAGGCGGTCCGGTAGGTTCGGTTCGAGCCCCCTTTCGCGATCGCCTCGAAATGATCCAGTCGTGCTCTCCAGCT